AGAGAGAGAGAGAGAGAGAGAGAGAGAGAGAGAGAGAGAGAGAGAGAGAGAGAGAGAGAGAGAGAGAGAGAGAGAGAGACATGAAAGAAACAGCGAGTGTTGCTGTGCGCCACGGCTACGCCGTGGCGGGGTCCACTTGTTTTTTTTTATTACAGGACCTTACAATCCTGGCTCCTTTTCCATTCTGGGGAGCGTCAGTCCGGTTCCTATTCCACCGGCAAGTCTGAATAAGCATTACAACAATAACGCACTCACGCTTCCTTCCGTCTGGCCGAAGGACCCCTGAACAGCATTGATTACTCCAACGTAGTGGAGGATTGACTGTCAGCTTGCCCTGCTTTTCTCTTTCCTCTCAGGTCTGTTAGCTAACCTGCCAGATATATCGTGAAAAACTAGAAAGAGCTGAGCAGCTACTCAAGCTGACCCTTGTAACCTCTCCTTGAAAACCTGCCCGTATGCCTCAAAACTGTCTTGCCTCTCCTTAAATCTATTTACAAAGCGGTCCCAAAACCCTAAACCCTAAACCCTAAACCCTCCTTTTGAAGTTTTGCATGGGATCCTCTGAACCATCTTAGCCCGTCAGCTCATATGGCCTGCAGTGGGACTTTTTCATTAGGTATCTGGAGCACTTGTCTTTTCCACCCCGTATCAGAATTTAGCCGGTCTTTCCATCGTATATGGAAGTCAGTCAGCATTCCCATCTTGCCTCCTACCATCCATTCTGTGAAAATTTTTCTTTTAATTCTCCTCTACTGTTCTTCATCGTCAGGCATGGGCTTTCTCGTTTTTTACCATATACCAAGGACCTCTGCTTGACTCAAAGTTCTTGCCTCCTCCCGTAGCTTCCTCCCGCTTGTTTGTTTTGAAAAAGGGGCTAGCCCTTAAACCATCAATGCACCCTCCCTCCGAAACCCGTGGCCATATACATTCTGCGAAATGAAAGGCTCAGCCTCTCCTATCCAAGGGGGTACTTGGGGGTGCACAAAATTGCAAGTACCCCAACTTGGTGAAACATTCCAACAGTAATCACAAATGTAGAATACGCTCCGCTGTATCAGGTAACAAACAGAAAATAAAGTAATCAAAAGTGTTTTCGCCTTAGAAAAAGTATTTGCGCCAAATAGAGTGCATATGTGAATCAGAGTCGTTCTGATCCAGTAGGCATGATGTCTCATGCTGGACAGGCCAGGGTTGATAGTTACTTTAGGCTCCACAAAAGAAGTTCCACAGAACTGATGATTTAAACCACCTGCAAACCTAAGCCCGCCAGACTCGTACTTGCACGCGAAGCTTTGGCCAATTGCAAGTGGCACACTTCTTTTGTTGTTTTTTTGGCTCGCGCCACCAGCCATTGTGGTCTGGTAGCCCCGAGCCTCCGAAATTTTAGGAATGAGCCATTCGTTTTCTCAAGTTGCCCACAAGCGGTTAACAGGGACCCCCACTTTCAGCCCCAGTTTAACCCCGCCAGCACTGAAAAGTGTGTTCGGGGATATTTTTGGTGTCCACTCTATGGACTGGTGACAATTCTGGCTTAAAAGTTGTGAGACGTTTGTTATAATGACTCTGTAAAAAACCTGAAAATTTAGGGCTCTGTTAATCGCTTCTCATCAGCCACTGGGCATGTCCATCTGATCAAAGGATATTGGTATCTTTTTTCTTGAATTGCAGGCACAGAGGCTGGTTCTGGGGGGGGCACCTGCGGGCCCTGCAGGAACTGGCAAGACCGAGACTGTCAAAGACCTTGGACGAGCAATGGGTGTTATGGTCTTTGTGTTCAATTGCAGCGATCAGCTGGACTACAAGAGTATGGGACAGATGTTCAAAGGTCTCTCGCAGACTGGGACATGGGGTTGTTTCGACGAGTTTAATCGGATACCAGTGGAGGTATGGTTTCTGTGTGTTCATCTGTCATTCAAGCTTCTGTGCAACCCATCATTCAAGTGTTCATATTGGAATAAATCATAAATGTCAATTGGTCTCAATCTGCAAAGGCATTTTGAAGTTGATCCTGTTTCTCTTTCTCTCAAGTTAACACAAGCGGGGAGCAGTTGGCCCTCCCACCCGCTCTCTCTCTCTCTCTCTCTCTCTCTCTCTCTCTCTCTCTCTCTCTCTCTCTCTCTCTCTCTCTCTCTCTCTCTCTCTCTCTCTCTC